CATCTACTTGCATGCACTGCATCTTGATGGAGGATGAAGCCAAGCCGGTACGCCAACCACAACGAAGATTGAACCCACCTATGATGGAGGTGGTCAAGAAGGAGGTCATCAAGCTTCTCCAAATGGGGATAATCTTCCCCATATCCGATAGCAAGTGGGTTAGTCCAACCCAAGTGGTTCCCAAGAAGATCGGAGTCACGGTGGTGGAGAACAAAGATGGAGAACTCATGCCCACCCGAATTCAAAATGGGTGGAGGGTATGTATAGATTACCGACGACTCAACACGGTAACTAGAAAGGATTTCTTTCCTTTACCTTTCATTGATCAAATGCTTGAAAGACTTGCGGGACACAAATCTATTGCTTCCTTGATGGCTATTCCGGGTACTTTCAAGTGCCCATAGCCCCTGAAGATCAAGAGAAGACCACTTTCACTTGTCCTTTTGGCACCTTTGCATATCAACGCATGCCATTTGGACTTTGCAACGCACCCGCCAGCTTCCAAAGATGCATGATGAGCATATTCTCCGAGTATGTTGAGCTATTTATGGAAGTTTTTATGGATGACTTCACAATCCATGGAGACTCATTTGATTCCTGCTTGCACCATCTATCTCTTGTTTTGAAAAGTTGTTTAGAATCAAACCTTGTTTTGAATTCTGAAAAATGTCACTTCATGGTGGAAGAAGGAATTGTTCTAGGCCATGTAATCTCATCAAAAGGGATAGAGGTTGACAAAGCCAAAGTTGAAGTCATCCAATCACTCCCTTATCCTACCACCGTTAGGGAGATACGATCATTCCTTGGACATGCAGGTTTTTATCGGAGATTCATCAAAGACTTCTCAAAGATTGCGTCTCCTTTATGCACACTTTTGCAAAAGGAGGTGGAATTCATCAAGAAGGCCTTCAACACGTTGAAGGAAAAGTTAGTAACCGCACCTATCATTCAAGCTCCCAATTGGTCTCTTCCATTTGAGATCATGTGTGATGCTACGGACTATGTGGTCGGGGCCGTTTTGGACCAAAAGGTGGGAAGAGCATCTCATGTGATCTACTATGCATCCACCACTCTCAATGATGCTCAATGCAATTACGCCACCACCGAGAAAGAAATGTTGGCCGTTGTCTATGCACTTGAAAAATTCAGGTCATACTTACTTGGAACCAAAGTGATCATTTACACCGATCATGCGGCTCTTAGATTCTTAATGACAAAAAAGGAGGCCAAACCAAGGTTGATTCGGTGGATACTACTCTTGAGCGAATTTGATGTTGAGATCAAAGATAAGAAGGGAATGGAGAACTTGGTGGCCGATCACTTGAGCCGTTTAGTCCTTGATGAAGGAAATGATCATATCAAAGATGACATCCGAGGGGAATTTCCTGATGAGACCCTTTTCTCTCTTAAGGAAATTCGCCCTTGGTACGCTCACATTGTTAACTTCCTTGTTCTAAACAGATTTCCACCAAGCTTCTCTAAAGCTCAAAGAGAGAAGCTCCAACACGATGCAAAACAATACGTATGGGATGAACCATACTTGTGGAAACATTGCAAAGATCAAGTCATTAGAAGATGCATTCCCGAGACGGAGATAGCATCCATCCTTGCCTTTTGCCACTCACATGCATGTGGTGGCCACTTTGGAGGAAAGCGAACGACCATGAAGGTACTTGAGTGCGGTTTTTGGTGGCCAAGCTTATTTCGAGATGCCCATGTCTTTTGTCAATCTTGTGACAATTGCCAACGCATGGGCAACATCTCTCGAAAACACGAGATGTCACAAGTTCTTATGCTCTATGTGGAGATCTTTGATGTTTGGGGAATAGATTTCATGGGACCTTTTCCTAATTCTCATGGAAATCTATACATTCTCTTGGCGGTGGACTACGTTTCAAAATGGGTGGAAGCGAAAGCCACAAAGACCGACGATGCAAAAGTAGTGGCGAACTTTCTCAAAACCCGCATCTTCTCAAGGTTCGGAGTCCCACGCATCTTGATAAGCGATAGGGGCACTCACTTCTACAACAAAACTGTGAGTGCCTTGTTGAAGAAATACGGCGTCACCCACAAGCTCTCCACCGCCTATCACCCACAAACAAACGGCCAAGCCGAGGTCTCGAACAGGGAGTTGGAATCTATACTCCAAAAGACGGTAAATCCTAACCGTAAAGATTGGAGTCTTCGCATGGATGATGCCTTGTGGGCATATAGAACCGCCTTCAAAACACCAATTGGAATGTCTCCCTATAGACTTATGTTCGGGAAGGCTTGTCATCTCCCGGTCGAACTCGAACATAAGTCCTATTGGGCGGTAAAAACATTCAACCTTGATATGGAGCAAGCGGGAGTACAAAGGAAGCTACAACTCCAAGAGCTAGAGGAACTTCGCCTTGAGTCCTATGAACACGCCGCCATCTACAAGGAGAAGACGAAGGTATGGCATGATAAGATGATAACAAGAAAAGACTTTCAAGTTGGAGACAAGTCCTTCTCTTTCGATCACGCCTTCGTCTTTTCCCCGATAAACTAAGATCACGGTGGGAAGGACCATTTGAGGTGGTCAAAGTTTACACACATGCAGCAGTTGAGATCAAAAGCCTTGACACCGATAAAATCTTCAAGGTTAACGGACATCAACTCAAACCATTCCTTGAGGTCTTCCAAAAAGAGAGCGTTGAATGCATGGATCTCTTCGATCCAATCTATGAAGAATGAATGAAACGATGGCGTCGTGCCGCGACGTAAAATAAGGCGCTTCTTGGGAGGCAACCCAAACTAAGGTACACATTCTTTGTCTTTTCTTTTATTATGAATGTCAACTTTTGGAGAATGGGAGAAAATTCTCAAAAGGAAAATAAGGGAAAAATCATATTTTTAAAGCCTGGGGAAACCCCCGATCGGTCATCATCAGTTCCCGGTCGGATCCATGCCGAAAAGAGGATTAAAATGGGCGAAACAAAATTCCAGGGTAATATACCCGATCGAGTACAAGTCTTACTCGGTCGGGTATAGGGTGGAAAAAGAGAGAATTGGGATCGAGTAACCCCATACTCGATCGACCCAAAGAGAAAAAAATGATCGAATACCCGATCGGGTATACCTCATACTCGACCGGGTACTCGACCCCTGGAGCCATTCTAAAACTCCGACGCCATACCCGATCGGGTATATTAATATACTCAATCGAGTAAATTTCCAAAAAATCCCACGGCGAGGAAAACCCGATCGAGTATACCCCATACTCGATCGGAGACACAACCCTGGAACCACTTTTTAAAAATAAAGACTATACCCGATCGGGTATATTAATATACTCGATCGAGTATATTTATGCGAAATTCCACGGCGAGAAAAACTCGATCGAGTATGGGGTATACGCGATCGAGTAAGGCCCCGAAACCAGTTCAAAATCAGGCATACCCGATCGAGTAATCGGGGTACCCGATCGGGTACACGAGTTTTAAACACATTTTTGAGCCGAAATCAGCTCATCTTCTCCAAAGCTTCTACCCCAAACTCGCACTCTCTCTCTAAAAAACTCCATTTTCAAACATTATTTCTCCCATAACTCAACCAAAACTCAACCAAATTCCATCAAACCACCACCAAAACACTCCCTTCACTCCCCTCTACAACCTCATACCAATCAATCTCACCCTCTCCCCCTATTTCCAAAAATCCGAAACCCTACCCCCAAGCCCCAAATCCAAACTTATACTCCACACTTGCTCAAAAATGGCACCAAAGAGGAACCAACCGGAGAGCTCCAACACAAGGGGACCTATTCGAGGCTTTGAGAATGTTCAATTTGGCCCGGGAGATCATCGCAAAAGATTCGTGGCCATACTCAAAAGGCAAGTTGTTCCCTCTCGTTTTCTATGTCATGAAGCTCTTACTTCTCTAGGTTTGTTGGATGGCATGAGAGAGCTCTTTGATGTATTGCATATGACCTTAATTTTTAATTTGCAATACAATTGTAATGAAAGAGTCATTTATGAATTTTTGAGTTCGGCCAAATTTGTGTTGGATGATGAGCACTTCCTTGATGACCAACTCTCGTTTCGGTTGATGAACATCGAATACTCTATCACGAGACGAGAGTTTGCCGAGCACTTCGGGCTCCGTATTCCATACGAGAGGGACATCCCGGAAAATACCATGGATGCATCTAACTTATGGAGCAAAATGACCGGAGAACGGAATTTTAGCACGTCCCAACTATACATTAGTCACGTGCAACATCCCCTTCTCCGGATTTTCCTCAAATTCTTGTGCAATTCCTTGCTCGGCCGCCCCAACAACCATCATAGTCGGATTGGGGATGTAGCCATACTCACCCTTGCCCTTTTCCACAATCCCGTTGGGTTCAACATTTGCAACTTGATTTGGGATCATCTAGAGAAGGCTATTAAAAAAGGGGGGAACATTGTCTTAGGGGGAGTTATTATGCACTTGGCTTCCAAGTTTGGCTTTGTGGATAATGCCCCAATCTCTAGGGATTCACTATTGCATCTTGGATGGCTATCCAATGCCCAATTAATCTCATTGGGTAATAAAGACCACAATGGAACTCAACGCTATAGGTGGCACATGAAATACCCCGAACCCACCAAATACTTTCCTCTCCCAAGCGATGAGTTGCCTAGACTTCGGTATAGGATGGAGCCCTTTGAGATACCACACTACCTCCTCCCCAACAACATCCCACCACACCTCCAACCACAAGCCAACCAAGCCGAGGAACAACCCGAACACATCGCCTACCAAGGACATGAAAACGTCCAATATGATATCCCCGACCCGCCTCAAAACCCGCCACCACAAGACTTCTGCCAACAACTCTTGGCGGGTCAACAATCCCTCCTCGCCGGTTTCCAAAACATGAGCCTTGATTACACAAGGATGGGAGAACAATTTTCCCAACTTCAAGGAGAGATAGGCCACTACCGGGAGGAGCAACAAGAAAGGGACCGGCGGTTTGATGAATACCGGGAGGAGCAACGGATGGCTTTTCAAAGGGTAGAAGAACAACGGGTGGCCGATATGCAAAGGTATGAAGACGATTACCGGAGGATGTACGGGCCCACATACTCGTACATGTCCCACCTTGGCGGATTTGCATCTATGGCCTCACCACCACCGGCACCTTCTTGGTATAACCCCTCCGATTGGGGTAATTTTGGCGGCTCTAGTTCAGGCATGGGCGGCTATGATGGCAGGGATACCACCATGGGCGAGGGCGGCGGTGATGACATGCACGGGAGCGGCTTTGGAGGAGGCTACTATGGTGGAGAAGGCGGGCACCAAGGATAGTGCCATAATTCAAGTGTGGGGGAGGAAGATTATCTCTTGGTATGTACACTCCTTTGTTTTTACCTTATACTAAGCATAAATTTCTTGTACTGCTTGGACACACACAAAAAAAAACAATAAAAAAAATATAAAAGAAATGAAATGCTAGTTAGGTTGAAAACCCAAAAGGGCAATCTAAGCAACAAGGGCTTTTAAAAAAAATGAGTGAGTGGTAAGGAAAAGAAAAAAGAAATGCTAGGATGAAAACCCAAAAAGGCTCCTAGGCAAAATGAGAGATATGAGAGAAAAACTTGTTTTATTTTGCAGGACACTACCTCTTGAAGAAGAAGAAGAAGCAAAAGAAAAGAGAAAAAGAAGAAATAAGGAGCATAGAAGACCATTAAACCCAGGGAATGTTGTTTTGTAAACTCATTTGCTATACTTGGTGGTTTTAAACTCCTTGCTTTTCTTTTCCCTATCTATGAACTCATGATCTTGTCATAAACATTGTGTAAACGTTTGGTTTTACTCGAGGTCGAGTAAAAAAACTAAGTGTGGGGGAGTTGACATTCATGTAATTTCCATAGTTATATTTGTGTTTTTAATTGGTTTAGAATGATTGTTACTTTGCAAATTACACACTTTTGGTGTAATAATTTAGTTTGTAAAAAGTTTGTTAAATATTTAGATTAGGTTTCTTCTGAGCTCAAACAGGTCCAAGATCACTCTAGGGACCCGTGGTGAACATCACAAATGGAAGGAAGGTGCAAAGATTTCAAGAAAAGATGAAGATTCTAATTTTTGGTAGTGTACCCGGTCGAGTATGCTCTATACTCGATCAGGTAAGTCGCTGAAAAGTCAAATCGGATCAACCCGGGAATAAGGCAACATGCAGGAGGATTTTTAACCACGATCGCGTATCCATACCCGATCGGGTAACCGACATACCCGATCGGGTATGAGCCCAGATTTTCAATTTCGAGGAAACCAACCCTTACCCGATCGGTTGGGCTGAAAACCCGATCGGGTACACGACCCTGCAGGCCTAAAAAGCCTATAAATACACCCCATTTTCTCCATAATAAATTACCAATTCCTTTATACTTCTAAGCTCAGTTTAGACAAGTTATTTCTTTATATTTTCTTCATGTTTAGTCTCCAAATGAGGAGCTAAACTCTTCCATCTTGGTTTTGCTACTTTGAAGCTTAATGAATTGTAAGTTGTGAGTTAATTTCTTTAATCTTCTTCCTTGAATATTAATTAATTCCTATTCCTATTTCATATTAATATTTTGGGCATTACTTAAAGGATCAACTAGTTTTGTTTCATATATTAATGAATACTAGAATCGGTCGATTAATACGCTTGTTATTAATTCGGTCCTTTCACGGTAGTAAACTTGGATTGTTAATGCATGCGTCTCGTGGTTAATAAACTAAGGGGAATTAATTACATTGATTAAACCAATAAACCGCTTGTGTTGAGGTTATGAATCTCAATTGTTTTCATCTTGATTTTATTGCTACTATCGAGTGAATATACGGCGCGTGTTCTATATTAACTCGGTAGTAAGTTTTATTAATGAATGCGTCTCGTTATTAATAACTACCCTCGATGAATTGGATATACTCCTCGATTGAGTATTCGAGAGTAAGCTAGTTAAAGATATAACCGGGATCGACGAACATGTCATTAAGTGGAAAATAGCAAAACCAAGCCTTCTTCTCATCAATTAAACCACATAAGTCGTTCAACTTGGTGTTTTAATACTTTTAAGTTCTCAAATCAAACTAAACCCCCCTTTGTTACTCATTTATTTTCTATAAAGAGAAAAGTATTCCTTTCCCTGCGGATACGAACCTTACTACACTATACTACGTATTAGTGTCGTATTGATAATTATTTTGAGTGTACACCACGACAAAGTGCACGTCACGACTCTAAATCATATACACAAATATTTCGTATCACACGTTTAAACGTCCTTGCTCTGTCATATCCAAGATCTTTCATCCCCTTGATTAGTTCTTCATTTGAGGGGAATGTCTGAAAATTGTCTTTCCAAATTGTTTAGTAGCTAACGGTGGGGGTTCTAATAAGCACTATAATATAACAGATTATAGCATTTTGTCCAAGAGATACAAGGAACACTCATATTTCTTTGTACGAAACGCTTGTGCAAGATATGAGTGTCATCCAAGGAGTTTAAAAGGTTGTCATCAGAATAAAACAATATGTTTTCCACGGGTTAAGTATGATAGGTATGTTCATTGATAGTAATGGACTATTAATTTTGATATTCCAAGATATGGTCAACGTAATCTGAACAAGATGGATTTATTTAAAGCGCGGTCCAGAATATTCTAATCCAGTATCTTATGTTAATTTGATAATAGTGTTATAAATCCAATCGGTTGATAGGCCCTTATCCATAAAGCCTATATGGACAAAATGGAGGCTAATGTTTAGGGACGCAAGAAAGTGTAAACCGTCCGTTCGGTTTACACACAAAAAGATATGTGAGATTAAAGTGTGAGAAACTAATGCAGGGAGCTCGATAAAAAATTTTAATCACATAAACTTTTAGTCCTTGTAATTCACGCCAATGAAGTTGGAACAATAGCTTTAAAATTCAAAATTGTCTTTCCAAAGAGATATAATACACTTTAAACGGAAGAACACATCGCCGGTTTCGAAATATCAAGGATGATGGCCTATTTTGTAAAACAAAACGGTATTAACCATACATTTGAAATTACTATTAATGGTTTAGGGTTTAAGGTTTAGGGTTCAGCGTATATAGGTATTCCGTGGACTAATCTGCCTATTAAAATCCTTTTGAACGGAAGATAAATATCTAAGATTGTGAACGTGTTCATACATTAAAACCCTACAATTTTTGTAATCATACCTAGTTTTGTGTGTTTCTAAATATGTAGTACCGTGAGATAAACACACAGCACATTATAGTGAATTGCTCAATTGTCTTTTAAAACGTGATTCCACTCCATTTATCCATGAGATATAGTATGCATACGTCTCCTGAGATATCCCCGTAAACGTCATTCTCTGCCCATGATAACTTTATTGTAGGGTTAGCCTAAACACTCTTAATCTCACCATGCTTTTAGGTTTGTTTGGTGTGAATTGTTTATCATTTACTTTAGTTTATAACATTTGTTTGTAATTGCTTTTTTAGCTCTTATTTGTAAGTTGTTAAGTAGTAGTAGAGTTATATGGAAGGAAAAGAGGTGAAAAGAAGAAGAAGACTGCCCAGGATCACTCACTCGGTCGGGTCCCCAACAATCACCCCGTCGGGTTTGACTTAACAGGTACAAGTGCCTGGGAAATCCACTCACCCGGTCAGGTCCCTTACTTCACCCGGTCGAGTCTGACTTGACCCGGAACAAATTAACGTGCTGAAACACATAAACGTGGAGGATTATCTGATTTTGACATGCACCCGGTCGGGTGGGTACTTTACCCGGTCGGGTACCCGAGCAAAGGTGTTGAAAAACACCTATAAATAGCTCACTTTTCCTTCACTAAAAATCATCCCTTCTTCCATATACTTAAGCTCAGTTTAGATTAGTGTTTTCTTTATATTTTCTATCATGTTTAGTCTCCAAATGAGGAGCTAAACTCTTCCATCTTGGTTTTGCTACTTTGAAGCTTAATGAATTAGTAAGTTGTGAGTTATTCTCTTTAATCTTCTTCCTTGAATATTAATTCTTTTTTTAAATAACTATTTCTATAGTAATGTTGGGGAGTGTTACTAAGATGACAATTAGTTAACATCTTAACATTGGTTATAGTAATAGTTACTTCTTCCTATACGTTAATATTGGGGAGTGTTACTAAGATGACAATTAGTTAACATCTTGATATAAACTATAGTAGGATTCATCTTCTTTAATATTCCTCCTTGAGTATTAATTAATTCGTATTCATATTAATATCTTGAGCATTACTTAAAGTATCAACTAGTTTTGTTTCATATATTAATTATTACTAGAATCGATCGGTTAATATGCTTGTTATTAATTCGGTTCTTTCGATGGTAGCAAACTTGGATCATTAATGCGTGCTTTTCATGGTTAATAAGCCAAGGGTAATTAATTATATTGATTAAACCAATAAACCGCTTGCGTTGAGGTTATCAATCTCAATCGTTTTCATCTTAAGTTTATTGCTACTATCAAGTTAATATACGGCGCTTGTTCTATATTGACTCGATAGTAAGTTTTATTAATGAACGCATCTCGTTATTACTAACTACCCTCGATGAACTGGATATACTCCTCGATTGAGTATTCGAGAGGAAGATAGTTAAAGATACTACCGGGATCGACGAACATTTCATTAAGTGGATAAAAGCAAAACCAAGCCTTCATCTATTATTAATTAAACCACATAAGTCATTCAACTTGGTGTTTTGATACTCTTAAGTTCTTCAACAAACTAAACCCCCCTTTTGTTAGTAGTTACGTAAAAAGAGAAGTATTCATTTCCCTGTGGATACGAACCTTACTACGCTATACTACGTATTAGTGTTAGTGTTAAATTTATTTTGAGTGCACCTCACGACAAGTGCACGTCAGCAATCATTTGATATCTTAGAGAACTCACTTTTGAATTTTGTATTACATATCAAAATAGGGTCCATTAATACTGTGAATTAGCTCGATTACGTCCAAATAAGTTTAATCATCCCTAATAGGTGTTCACCCCATTAATAGTATGTTTACCATACTAGAATATGTTAGATCATATTTGGTCTGAATATCAAATTCTCAAATGTTACGAGCTGTAACAAAATCCTATTAGCACAGTTTGCTGTGTCTAATATATTATGCTAATATATTACGCTTTTAACCCAAGAACTATATATGTGTTTACGCTATGGTTCTTACATAAGTGCACTTTTCGCTGTAAATTTTGTTAACACAATTCACCCCCTAAACGTTTATAAGATGTCACAAGTGAAATCTAAAGCTTACATATCAGGCTAAAAATATCTTGCGGTTTCAAAAAGATACCTATAAAATAGGCTGTTTTATAATACGTTTGGGAGTCATTTTTAAAGTGATGAGCGTCCTCGTTCCCTGGTAACCCTAAGAGAATATATTAGACACTAAGGACAACTTTGAAGACGTTGTCCTTAGTGTCTTGACAACGCTCGAATCAAGGGACTCATTAAAAATGATCTATGATTTCACTCTGGAGAATACCGTATGTAACTTATATACAAGGTTTTAAATTGCAGTCGCGGTTGCAGTTGCGATTGCGGTCGTTGCGGTTACGGCTAATGCGGCCGCTGCGATGCGTATTGCGGTCGCTGCGGCGTGAATTATTTTCATGTTCGCACCAGAAAGAATGATGGACAGACTGAGGCGTTGCGGTCTGTTGCGGCATGTCGCGGTCGATTGCGGGATGTTGCGGCGTCGTTGCGGTTACGTTGCGGTTTCGTCGCGGTTACGTTGCGGTTTTGGCCGTGATTCCAAATGATAAGGGTGTTGCAGGCTGATGCGGTTGCGGTGCCCTCGGCAACCGCAATAAAAT